GAGTGAAAATTCTTAGGAGACAGAACATGTGATCAACATTTCAGAGAAAAATAAAAATGACTTTTCCTTATGTGCATATTTTTTTAGGTTTCTAAATTAACCTCTTATAAAAGGCTTAAGGAAAATTCTGAATTAAAGAAGGGAATGCCTATATAAAATAAACTAACAGCCATTCTGTCTTGAAAATAAAATCCACAATTCTAAAAGGCAAAATTGACATATATTCCCAGATCCTAAATGTTTGGGCTTATAGGGGGAAAAAAAAACATACCTTGAAGTAGGCACAGAGGAGTTTCACATGACACCAATAAGGTATTTACTGTATAAATTGTACCACTAGACAAATACAGCTACACGAAATAATCTGAGTAAGTCAAACAGCCATCAAAGCATCTCACACATTCATTATAATTCACTCTTTCACACTAGTTTATATACACTGAGTAAGTCATTAAATATTGCACTTATTGGCCCATGAACCCTCAATTCTGAGGTGTTGAAAAATAGAAAACAAATCTATTTTTATAACATATTTCATGCAACATTTAAGACATTTCAGTTCCACAAACACCATTAAGTAGTTGTACATTTGGACAGTTCAACGGTATCACATCACGTCTGACATTAACAATATATTAACAGGAATTACAGGAAGTTTTCATTCAGCACATATCCTAGGGATGATGAGACAATGAATGGAAAACCATCATACTGAAACAGCAAACAATCCCCAGATTTCACTTTTATGAGGCGTATGGAACCACTAGACAGATGTAATTTATGCTCACGTCCCTGAAAGGCCAGGTGTCTGTGGCTCATGTACCATCTGCATCTTTAAGAATGGCATTCATGAACCTAAGCAACCTCTAGTGCCAAATAATATGACCATGGAAACATTTCCATTAAGAAATAAAGCCACAGCCAACTCTCAGTTGTCCACAATGAAGGAAAGTATGAACACAGGTGAATGAAATACACAGGTACCCCCCCCCCACCCCCAACCTCATTTCAGCAAGTAATGACCGGTTGAAACTCTACCACTAACTGTACTGATGGGAGGTAAATGGTGAAACTTGAGTCTCATTTCCTATTCTTGGTTCTGTCACTCTGTGAGGATAGTGCTTTAAAAAACTGAAATGATAAAAAAATCAGGAAGTAGAAAAGAGAATTGTAAATAGAAAGCTCAATTTGTCCACTAGCTACATGGTCTGATCTTAATACTCGAGCTCTGACAGAGGCTTTGAAATAATTTCTTTTCTCTAGAAGGTTTGCAAAATATATTCTCTCTATCCTCCCCTTTTAATGGGAATTAATTCTCTGCACAGAGGCAAATCAAATCAGTGTGAAGAATCTATTTTGTAGACCTTTTAAAGGGAAATGCCAGTTACAGTTGTTGGAGCATAGTAAAAGCACTCTTTTCCCTAGCACTGAGAAAGCACCATAAATGGAAATTTTCCTTCATAGAAAAGGTATCTGTGTTTGAGTGTGTATGTGCTGGGAGGGGCAACATTATCTGTGTGGCCCAAGTATAAATATTTTAATCTACTTAAGCAAAGTATTTGACTAGAGTGTCAAGCATTCCTGTAAAGGTTTTTAAGAAAAAAACATTTATTTATGAAACAACAGTAGGTGGATATATTTTAAATAAATTCTCTAGACCTGTTTTTGTCCCCTTAGAGGATATTGTATTTTTAGAACCTGGAACCCTTTAGGTTCACTGCAGAGATAATCAAGATGCTTTTTTTCCTGGTTATAAACTTCATCTTTTACTCAATTTTCCCAATTTGTTTCAGAATATAAAACAGGCTTTTGTCTTTAACTGGCTTTGATCAAAAATTTATCTAAAATATGAAGGAATCTAAAAAGCTGACCCCTGATTGTTCAGCTGATCAGAAAGACTTCACCATTTTACTGGCAGACCCCTAAAACACAGGCATTATACACAAATGGGCAAAGCCAAGCAGATCTGGAGTGGCTGCATCTTCTAGGGGGTGATTAGAAAGGCCACATGGGTCTAGTTGCTCACATGGCAGCCTGACATGGCACACTGAGTGAGTACACACACAAAGGAACAAAGAGTTTTAGTTACCAGTCATGCAAACTATAATTTAGAGAGCATTCTTCAGACAGAAAGGCTACCTCCCAAGTATGCCACGCCATAAATTCCTGATGGAGCATTCCAATAGTATATGGAAATTATTAAACACTTTTTGACCTAGAAGGGTTTTAATCACGACTTTAAGATTTATCTTAGTATTTCACATGCAGCTGCTACCTCAGCCTTGGGATAGCTTGGAAGAGTCTGGATACATTTTTAATATAGTCTCACAGATGCCACACAGTTGACTGAAGGATGGCACAGTATATCCTCACTGAGCACGAAGAGACACATTGGTTAAAGCACATCAGAATGAGCCACTGATTACCGACTACCACGCTCCAAAATTAATGTTGCTTCATGGAAGTTCAGTTAACAGTAGACTGTATTTTACTTTAACGCAAGAACATTGCATCCCTGAAAGTCTATCCTCAGTATAGATGTAGTTAAAATTGGAAGTTTAAATTAGTTCCTGAAAGATAACCAATGTGCTGAACCAAAGAGCTATTATTAATCTGGATAAGAGTTAAGTAGGTGAAATACATATTTGTTTGTTGAGTATATAGATGTCTTGTATAATTGCAGTTGTAGTGGAATTCATAGTTCATATTTAACATAACGCTGAAGCTTTCTGCAACAACCAAAGGCATCATCATAGTTCCCATTCCAAATAAAAATCTTAGCACTTATTTACTAGGTGGGCAAAGGGATAATGATTTTAAGTTACACTAAAGAGGTGGTTAGAAGTTTATCAAGGCAGTGGAGGTTGCTCAGCGGGGGCAGTGGCAATGAACTAATTCACTGTCTTAATTCTTCTTATAAGCCCATAGATATAATGCTAACTTGTAAACTGCCATCTTAGGACTTAAGAAACTTCATGCACCTTCGACATCCACTCACAACCCCGAAAGCTGAAATGCGGGTCCACTAAATGGCTGTTTTTGTTTGTTTGTTTTGCGGTACGCGGGCCTCTCAACTGTTGTGCCTCTCCTGTTGCGGAGCACAGGCTCCGGACGCTCAGGCTCAGCGGCCATGGCTCACGGGCCCAGCCGCCCCGCGGCACGCAGGATCCTCCCGGACCGGGGCACGAACCCGTGTCCCCTGCATCGGCAGGCGTACTCTCAACCACTGCGCCACCAGGGAAGTCCTAAATGGCTGTTTAGAGGAAATAATTTCCAGTCCAATTTTTCATTTACATTTAGAACAGAGAGGAATGTCCCCAAACCAAAGCTCTTGGAAGTATCTGCTCAAAACAATCAAGGTTTGATTATAAAAGTAATCGGAGGGATGGGGTGATGAGGAGAGGGGTGACAGAGGAAGAGAAATTTGTTCCTGAAACACTAATTGAGTTGCATCGAAGACAAAAGATGGTTGTCTACAATTTACACACTAACACAAACATACACTTTGTTCTTTCGAATACAAATTTAGTTAGGCCATTAGTAAAAATGATCTGTCATTGTTTAAGCTGTTGGCAGACAGAATATGGGAGATATTGTATGCATGTGTGTGTGTATACACATTTGTGTGCATGATGGCCTAAAGGGTGAAAAACCTTGGAACCACAGTGTTACAAGTAATATAGCTTGATGCCAATAGAAGTTTACTTAGTTAATCCTAGGCTGGTTCTTCTTTTGCCAAACTTGATTTTAAAACCAGGATCTCTTGATGAGATTAGGAGTAGAGAATTTTTCTCTCTTTCCATGTGCTTTACAGCAGGAGCATAGGTGCTCATTTCATTGAGCTCTGTGACAATCCTTTCTGGAAGCGTCTCACTTAGAAAAATCACACTGGGGTAGGGGCTTCAGAACTGAGAATCAATTAGTAAGCCTCTACTTCCATTGAGGTTTGAAAAATAGAAATTATTGGATGTCCCTTGGCACTGACACCTGGGCCATTCTTGCATTATGCTCCCGACTGGCATACTCAAGTCTGGTATGTTTGACATTGTGTAAGTGGGTACTTGGCTTAGGTCTTCTGGTTCTAGAGCCATTTAATTTCAATGGCAATTAGCTCTTCAGGGAAGGAGTTTACAAGAGAGCAAAACTCAACTTTCTTTCCAATTTTCTACCCTCTCTGATTTTGCTTTCCATTTTACAATAATATGCATATCAACATCCTTCTGAAAGAGCCATCCGAGACATCATATTGAGGTCCTTGACATCTGTACGTATGTATGTGAGATCAGGTCTGAGAGAGGATGCGAAGGTCTTCCTGGTTCTATTGCTTCATATTAGATTGTAAAAGTCAGCTTAACAGCTATATCATTTAACATGGCCATTTTCTAGACCATGTTAAAGAAATATTACAATATCATGCAAACAGGCTTCTGTTGCAAACAAATCTGCTTTGATGGCCCCTGCCTTCTCTTTCTTCCCTTCACTTTAATTTCTGTGATTTTTGAAGCTAGTTGCCCCATTAAAATCTAATAAAGCATTAATGTCTTCTTGTCTTCACTAGGCTAAGGTCTACCTTGCAGAGTGCCAAAGTGAAGATTTATTGCCAATTAGTGGATCTTAAGCTAAGATGAGCAATAATAAGAATGTGGATATGCTTAAGACATCCCAAATGCTTTCTCCTATGATTTTCATCTTCTAACTTACTAGTAATATATGTGACCTAGTTCCCTGACTTGCAGGCATTGATCCTCCAGAGATCTCTTTAG